CAACCGTTACAAAGGTGACGGGTGTCTCCACAGACAAAACACCGTCGAATGTGTGTATGCTGCCTGGCAGCTCGGAGCTCTGCTCCCTCGTTCCCAGCATAGCTGAGATCCATGGACACAGACCCGCTCGACGAGCTGTTGGATTGTGCATTCCAACCAAGTCGTGCCGACTTGAAATTAAACTCGGCATTTAATGCCATATTCACCGCCTCTTCAAATGAGGACTGATGCACATGGGAGAGTTCCATTCCGGCCACGCCAGTACGGAGGCCTTCCATTAACCCGGTCACTGTGACCGCCTCCGGGAGAGGATCCGCTGCCATCCCGGCAATGAGAGCTCGCAACTCTTGGACAAAGTCCACCAATTCCTTGTTGCCATGTCGGGCGGCAAGGAAATGCGATCACACGAGATATGCCTGATTAGGCGGCGAGAACACTCGTGAGAGCTGCAATTTCAGCTCCGCCCAGGAGGGAAACGCAGCTCCGCCCGAAGTGCCGCACGTCAGTGCCATTATCGCGCTCGACCACCGAGCTTTGAGATGGGTAGCGCCACGTGCTGTTGCTCGGTCTGGAGCATGGCGGATGCGATGGCCATCTCGACCACTCTAACCCAGTGTAGGAAATTGTCTCCTTCCTTCCCCTCAAAGACCTTAACGCTCACCATGAGCGGCTTCGGTTGGGGGAAGTCATCCGTCACCGACGGTGGCGTCATAGACGCAAACGATGCAGACATCTTCTGCCGCAGGTGCCCTAGCAGCGCGTTTCATAACTCGAAAACGCCTTAGGCGCGCACCAGTTGCCTCGGGGCCTTGTGCCATAAGGTTTGCACGCCTTTAGGGCCAAGCAAGGATATCAGCTCATTAAGCCTGTCCTGCATAACCTGGAACAAAGAGGAAAATCCCTCCATCCTCATAGAGGTTCAGTCGAAACGACTCAGGTGTAGATTGACTACAAGTGCTACCAAGTGCAGTGGGGCTGCCGTAGCTGTGCGCTTGAGGAAGCGTCTTTAGGTCATCGACCTTTCGTTCTATACATGAACTAAGTACTAGTGCAGCGGATCGCAATCCACTGCCTTTTAAAAGTACTTAAAAGTCTTACCACGGCAAACGAACAATTCTGTTCAGAATCGAAACTGATTTTTATTTATATTTTTATTCTAATGTTAAAAGTTTATTTTCCTAAATATAATGAATTTAGTAAAATCTAAATACATGCATAACTACTGGCTACCTAGCCCCGTACCGTATTCTTG